GCGGTCTCCCAAATGGGTCGTGTCTCAACGACATTTGTGTCGAGGTGAATGTGCTGGCCCCGTTCGATAATGTCCTCGAGCGCAACAGGGGTGTCGACCTGACTTCGTGCATCGATGATGATGCGGTCAGTGCGTGTAGTAGGCCCGATCACGTCGTTGATGTGCTTGGGAAGGCCGCTGAAGACCTTCATCGGGTTTTCGCGGTTGAGCTGGGTGCCGGGCTCGCGGCCGATAGACTCTTCACCTTCGCTCCTGCTCCTGCCTTGTCGCTTCGGCTCGGACGCAGGCTCGGAACTCTGGCTGGCACGGTGGGGGCGCGCGTCGTTTCTCTGGGTGTTGATCTGGCCCCTGGAGTGGAGCGCCGTGGGAGGAAAGCGCGCGCCGAGCGTAGGTCCAGGATCGTGGACATGATCAGAAGGCATCGGAAGCTCAAGCGCCTCAAGAAGGCCCTTCCCATGGACAAGGGCCGTCTGGGTAAAATCTTCGCGGCTGGAGCCAGGCCCGCGGTCTCGTTTGGAGACGGGGTCGCGGGAGCTACTGGTGCTAAGTTGAAGAAGATCCGGTCGAACATGTTTTTGTTTCAATCTCCCGCTTGCTCGGGGGTCTCGCTCACGGCCAAGACGGTGCTGCGCGCAGACCCCGCCTGGCGCAGCATGGTTGCGCGCGCCTTAGCCTGGGCAGGTGTCGCCTGGCACGCGACAACTAAGCCAGGCATCGCGCGCTTCGCGCTGCCGGACCTCCGCCGCATGTAGTTGGCGGTGCCCGAGGATGTGCTGGTGTGGGAAAAGACCAATGGCACCATGGCGCGGGCGTGGCTTTCGCTCGACAGGATCGGGTGGGAAGCTGATGGAACCGTTTTCTGGACCGACGACCGTGGGAACGAGCTCTCGCTCCTCTACAAGTCCCCTGCTATGCTCAATGCTCTGCTCAAGGAAGGTGCCCAGAGGCACCATGAGCGGGTCCTGGGGAAACGTCTGGGCTGGGCCGAAGGGGAGAGGGTGCGCGTTGAACCTATTCGTAGAATCACTAAAGCCACGGGCAAAGGTATCGGGTTGAATGCTCAAGGCAAGTATGTGGTGAGAGCCAGGTGTGAGGACCGCGCGGCCCGTGCTGGTTATTTATCTCAGGGGTTGTGCCCCGTGTGCAGCCAGCTGTGAGGGGTCTCGAGAGATCAGAGCTGCTCGTGAGGCCGTACAGGCCATTGATTTTTCTTTCCAGCAGGCGCAGGAGGGGCCGCAGGAGTTCTTCACGGGACTCAAGTTGAAGCACCCCGCCAGCTCCTGGCCGCCGCCGAGCGACGAGCACGAGCCCATCCTGTTCGATGCAGATGGCGCCCGCATGGACTGGAGCGGCTTCGACACAGTTGGTTTGAGCGTGTCGGGTGATGACTCGTGTGTCCCGCACATGATGAAGGAGCTCTCGAGGGCCTCGTACGCGCGGGTATTTATGGGCCCCGACGGGAAGCAGGCTGCTACGGCCAAGGGCACGGTCTGGTCATCCTTGCCACAGACGAGCCAGGCGGCAGAGCAGCTCCAACTCAGCCTCCTACTTATCTTCGTCCCTAAATATGGCGATGCGTGTTACAGTGACTGAACGCTGTGAGCTTGCATAATAGTACACCGCACATGCAGTTGAACCACAAGCATAAGTATTCTGGCTTGCGTCGTGGATCGTTACAGCGCATGGTGGCGAGCACTTACGCACCTGCAGTGCACGCTCCAGCGCGCCGTGATTTCAGTACGATAGACGCACTCCCTGCCCCAGATAGATGGATTGGTCCGGCTAATTGGAGGGCGGACAGAGAAGCCAAGCAAGCGATTATGTTGCACCCGGGCCCGTCCCAGGCTGAATGGGAGGCAGTTGGTGGCTCGGCTAGAGATCTCGAAACGGTGGCACGTCTCGCGGCGGAGGTTTTACCGTTGTATCCGAGGGTCCAGCATCAGAGACCCCCGAAGCGGGACAAACAGGTCAAGCTTTTTAAGCAGGCAGATGGCTGGCATTCCTGGGAAACCTGGCTTTGGGGCCACAGATGTTGTAGTTGCCTCAGATTCTATAGTGGCAGTGATGACTCTAGACCTGAGGTGGGATATTCGGGGTTCCCGGGTCTGGTGCAGGAGCTCTTGACCCACTCTCCGAACCATGGCCACCAGCTGGCCAGTACCCAGGTCGAGGATCAGGAGCGTCCGCTTTTCTTTTTCATGCTGTGTGGCTATTTTGCGCAGCATCGAAGTCACATGCTGGCCCAGCGGTGCGAGAAGCCCCGCGCGGACGAGCAGAGGTCAAGTGCTGGCACCTCGGCACTCAGGCGTCTTAGGCGGGGACTCCATCCCAAGAAGCCGTGGTCTGTTGCCTGTGCTGCTCCCGAGACGGCGTGCTCCGCCGTGGTTGCCGATTACATCGCCGACAATAGGCCGCTGGCAATTCCGTCGGCGGCCAGGCCATTCCAGAGGTTGTCTTCAGTCCGTGCCCGTGTTCGGGCTAAGGAGGAGGGCGGGGGCGTGGCGGGAGCGGGGGGGGGGGGGCGGGTCGCGCAGGCCCTCCGCAGGCGCGCCGCGCCCAGGTCCAGGCGAGACGGCGGCGAGCGGTGGCCGAAGGACCACCAGCGGCGGACCCGCCGCCGCCGCCGCGGGCCCGAGGGAGGAGATGGAGGTTGAGGAGTCCCTCCGCTTCGTCGTCGGGCTTTTTTTCAGATGATTGTGACTAGGGGACGTGGGCAGGTTCGACTCGAGGCCATGCCCCTTCGGGCGTGGTCCAGGGTCGTGCCTGCGCCGTCCCCAGTCCCAGCGGCGTCGGTTTAGATGCCGCTGTACTGGTTCGGCCCATGGTGGCCAAAAAAAAACCTCCTCCTCCCCCTCCTCCCCTCCTCCTCCTCCTCCTCCTCCTCCTCCTCCTTCTCTCCTCCTCCTCTCCTCCTCCTCCACCTCGCCTCCTCCTCCTCCTCCTCCTCCTCCTCCTCCCCTCCTCCTCCTCCTCATCCTCCCCCTCCTCCTCCTCCTCTTCCCCCCCCAGGTTGGGGGGCCCACGTCTCGAAACAAGCTTAGACAGGGGAGCGAATAATGACATACATATATAAGCTCGGAGGTCCGAGCGGATTTCTCGTATCCGCGCTGGACCCCTGTGGCGGCGCCTCCGGCACCGCCCTTGGCGCGCTCCGCGCGCCAGCGAGGGGGGTCCAGCGCGGATCTGAGAAATCTGTGCGGACCCCGGAGGGTTTGTATTTATGTCATTCTTCGTTCCCCTGAACCTAGACATGGCGATCGTTGTCTTATTCCCTGTTTTGCCGATCGGCGCGGGCCCTCACCTCCCCCCCCTCCCCCCCATGGAGTAGATCTTGGCTGTCTTCGGCGCCTTTTTCGAGCAGGTGGAGTCTTCCCCGTAGACTGCTGCAAACAGTCACCTTGATCAGAGGTCCGGAGCCAGACCACCCCCCCTCCCCCTCCCGTCTTTCGCCCAATGCCGAAACGCCGAATAAAAAAACGTCCACCATGACGTCCTCATTAATTTGTACGGGGTCCCAAGAAGTCCTCGCCCTTTCCCTCGGGCCCGCTTTTCATCCTGAGTCTTTTTTTGACGGTCCTGGGGCCAGGTGAGGGCCCCGGGGAGCCGAAAACGACGAACAATCTCCCGTCCTAATTTTTCCACGACGCGAACATGTCTGATCTGTATTAGGAACCTCCTCCTGGAAAGCTGGGCCAGCGTTTCTCAACCAGTTTGCCAGAAAGCTGTCCCAGCTTCTTGAGCACGTTCGCCCTTCCAGCGTCATCGACAGAAATTAGAGCCCAGGGTCGCTTCGAGAGACTTCCCTGAGGCTGGCCCAGATTTCCTGCATGATATTTTTCTTGGTCATCTTTTCCTCTGTAGATCTAGGCCTCCCAGATGGGGTCGGAGTAGATGGGGTCGGAGGATTGCGCCGCATCGCCGGTGCATCGACGATGCGGCTCGAGCGGCTCGATGCGGAACCCGATTTTGTCCACGCCAGCGTCGCCGATGCGTCGCCGACGTCGCCGATGCGTCGCCGATGCATTGTCGATGCATCGCCGATGTATCGGCGATGCCGCGCGATCCTCCGACCCCATCCATTCGAACCCCACCCAGGAGGCCTCGAGTTCAAAGGAGGAAAAGCCACCCAGACCGGACAATCGGCGTGTACTGAACGGCCCTGGGCTTTTACTGAAAAGCCCTGCCGTGTTCGATTCCGGGTTCGCGGGTCGCGAGGTCCGGCTTTTACTAAACGGCCTCGCGTGTCGGGGTGGTGATTGCCGGGGTGGATTATCGACCCTCTACTTGGATCGCCGCGGGGGTTGCTAAGTGGATAGGGGGATACAGGTGGATGCTAAGGTGGGTTCTATCCAGCCCTCCCAGCTTAGAAGTGGGTTGCACGTGCCCGACGCAGCCCGACGCAGCCCCCCGCCATTCCCGCATCTTCTTCCCGTCCCCCCGACGACGGTTCGACGCCCTACCGACGACCCCACGACGGCCCCCCTCAGAACCCCAAACAACCCGACGACGGCCCCATGACCCTCCGACGACGCGGCCCGACGCGGCCCGACGCAGCCCGACGCAGCTCGACGCAGCCCTCCGCCACTCCCGCATCCACCTCCCGTCCCCCCGTCGACGCCTCGACGCCTTCCCGACGACCCCACGACGGCCCCCCTACGAACCCCAGACGACCCCACGACGACCCCATGACATCCCGACGACGCGGCCACACGCGCCCCGACGCAGCCCGACGCAGCCCGACGCAGCCCTCCGCCACCCCCGCATCTATTTCCCGACCCCTCGACGACCCCTCGACGACTCCTCGACGACCCCCCGATGACGCCCCCGTGAGCCCCAGACGACACCACGACGACCCCATGACCCCCCTCCGACGCTGCCCGACGGTGCCCGACGCAGCCCGACGCAGCCCGACGCAGCCCTCCACCACCCCCGCATCTTCTTCCCGACCCCCAGGCGACGCACATGCCAGCGCTGACGGACCCTGGCTCGCACCACCACGCATGCCTTACAGTGGCAACTACCGGGGATGCTTCTGGAACGCACAGGCGCTTTGGGCTGCCCGTACGTCGAATCAGAACGCCAAGTTCGGCCTGCTCACGAGGCTCCTCGACACCCACGACTTCGCTGGCGTCGTGGAGACCCATGGCACCGACGGGAAGGTTCGAGGACGACACCTCCCCGCCGGGACGGTTGCCTTTTGGTCGCATTTATCCGAGCGCCATGCGGGAGTGGGACTTATCTTGAAACAAGATTTTTTGAAGAATTTCCACCCTGTGGAGCACGACCATTGGAAGGAGCTGGAACCTGGCCGGTTGGCGGTGCTTCGACTTAAAAGGCCCGCTGGGCAACCTCGACCTCTTCGTGGCCTACCTCGCCACTGGCGGAGATCGGGTCGAAGACCAAGCAAGCAGGAGGGCAACCATCGACACCCTCCACCTCAGCACGACATCCCAGACGAGCACTCTCAGCATTTACATGGGGGATTGGAATTTCGTTATGGAGGAAAAGGACAGATGGTGCAAAACATCGGGTGCTTGGACGGGCGCGAGGGACCACGAGGAGAAACTTGCGTTCGAAGCAGTGGCACTACATCCCCATAGGATGCACGAGCTCGAGCAGGACCTGCACACGTTCCACGGCGGTCTGCACCTCGCGCGCCTGGACAGGATCTATAGCAACCACCACGTCCTGGAGCAGATCGACAAGTCCATGACGTGCACTGCGCTCCAACGTACGCGTCTGTCGGGCCATCGCCCCCTCAGCTTCTCCTGCCGCAAGCGCGAGAAGCTTCCGAGCGACGCTCCGAACCTCAACCCGCACCACTTGCGGAATGCACGCTGGGCAAAACGGGTCGCGGCAGAGTTGGAGGAACTCGAAAAGGAAGACGCCCGGACCAACGATATCCGACGGCTCGTCTTAGCCAAGCGGGCCATGAGCACTGTCTCCAGCAACATGCAGAGGGAGGAGGAGACCAACCCGGCAAGGAGCATTGGGGACCAGCTTAGCTGCACCCTCAGCTTCATCCGTGCCGCTGAGAAGACCCATGTCCGGACGATGCGCCGGAGGGCGGCGGACTACCCTGAAATTCGAGAGTACGTTGATCCAAAAGACCCTGAGGCTCGCAGCCGGGACGGTTTTCAGCGTCTGAAGGACCATGCCCTTGATGTCGCTCGCCAATCGCTCACGGAGGAGATGCGGGACCTCGCGGCCGCCCAACTTGAGCCGAATGACCCGCGCCGGAAGGCTCGGAAAGAACACATTTTACGGAAACTCAAGCGACTCGTCCCTGGCGCCAGTGACGCAATCAAGGCCGTGAAGGACCCAGAACACGGCATGTGCACGTCCCCGGAGGAGATCGCCCGGTCTCTCCAGCGCCATTGGAGCAAAGTATTCAGTAGTAAAGCGATCGACGGTGAACTTTTACAGCAGTGGCTCAGCTCTTTGCCGCACATCACCAACCAGCAACACCAATCGACACCAATTCAGCCGCCCCGCCCACCCCGCACACCACGCCCGGCAGCCCCAGCAACGCCATCATCAGTGGCACCCCCGCGCCCCTCTCCAACGCCCCCCCTTTCGGCACCTGCCCAACGCCCCAACCCGTACACGCCCACGGGTACGGCTGGGTGGCGCGGCCGCCCGCCCAGACCTCCAGCTGGCGCACAGAGCCGGCGCAGGATCCGCCTGCCGACCCGCAGCTGGGAGTGGAGAGTCAGCCACCAGGACGTGGCGCATGCGATTTCTCACAGCGAGAACACCATGCCCGGACCTGACGGCATCCCATTCCAGGCTTGGAGACAGCTGGGCCCGCTGGGAGTGGACATCCTCACCAGGGCGGCATGGGCGCTCGAGCGCGAGGACGCCGAAGACCTCTTGATTGACGGCTACCGCGACGAGTCCGACGAAAGCGACCACTTCTTCAACTTGAGCACGCTGGTCTGCCTGCCCAAAAAAGCAGCCGGCACCACGGACAACGACCTTCCCTTCTTCCTCCCGGAGGGGACGCGTCCCCTTTCTATCGTGAACTGTGACAACCGCATTATCGCGAACGCGGTCCGGAGCAAGTGGGAAAGCCACCTCGCGGATTGGGTCCTAGAGCGTCAGCAGGGCTTCCTCCCCAAGCGCTCCATCATCACCAACCTCATTGGGCTTGAGACGGACATGATGGTCACGGCACTCACTCAAGACAACGGGGCCTGCGTCCTCCTGGACTTCAAGGCGGCCTTCCCGTCGATTGCCCAGGAGTTCCTGTTCGAGACTTTAGACTTTATAGGTTTACCTCCCAGCGCGCTGCACACGGTCCGCCACTTGTACAACAACGCCTCATGTCGGATAGCGGTCGGCGGGGGGACGTACGAGGGCTTCAACTTGGCAGCTGGGGTCCGGCAAGGGTGCCCGCTTTCGCCCTTATTGTACGCAGTCGTCGCAGAAGTGCTGCTCGACATGATATGCGAATCTTGCCCCGGAGCGCGGTGCTTTGCTTACGCAGACGACGCCGCCTTGGTGATCGACAACATCACGGAGCAGGGGCCCCGGCTGGCTCGCTTGTTCGATGAGTTCTCCCGCATTTCTGGTCTGGATCTCAACCTCGGCAAGTGCATTGTCATCCCACTTGACGGCGGGAACACGACGGAATTCCAGCAGCAGCTTGCCCAAAACGTCCCCGCATGGGGCCAGATGCAGGTCCGCCTGAAGGGCAAATACCTCGGCTTTATTATTGGGCCCGCCAAGGAGGAGGAGAGTTGGAGGGAACCGCTTGAGAAGTACGTCTCACGCTGCCGTGTTTGGTACAATATTGGCGAGGGGCTGCAGTACAGCGCCCTCGTCTACAACACATTCGTCGCATCGGTGCTGACCTTCGTCATGCAGCTGGAGCGCCTCCCAGACGAATCCCTGACGCGGGAGTCGCAGGTGTTGCAACAGATGGCTAAGGGGCCCGGGGGATGGTTCCTCATCGCGGACCTTTTCACGCTCAAAGAACGGTTTGGCATGGCGAAATCTTTCCACTCCCTAGCATGGCTGGCCCTTTCGGCGAGATGCAGGGTGGGCAGCTTCGACCGGGCCTGCAGCCAAGGGCGTCTTCGGGAGCTGTCCGGCAAGCTCGCCAGGGCTCGTGGCTTGGGGTTGCGTCCTCATGTCCTCGTGGAGTGGCGTGAGTGGTTCAAGGGCGCATTCGTGCTGAACCTCGAACAGGCGCAGGACTACGTGCACCGAGTCTTAGGAGGGATGCGCAAACTACAGAATTCCATGGCCGACGACGTGTTCCGAAAAAAATTCCAGAAAGTTGTGTACCAGGGCATCTTGGACAACGAGGCCCCCCACGCTCTGATGCGGGTGCGGCACAAACTCAACCTCCGCCACCTGTGGGATGCCTCTCTCTTCCCACAGCCGCCGGGCACCAGCGTCTTGCAGAGCACGCCGCACTACGGGGCTCGCCGGGCCCTCCGGCAACTTCAGGAGCTGAGGGCGGTGGTGGCGCCACGCGTGCAGTCAGCGGTGTTCAGCACAATGTGGAATAGATGGACAACCCACCGCCGCTTCCAACAGCGCCACGCCCCTACCAATCGCTGCCTGCTCGGGTGTCCGCCCGGGGCCGAGGACTCAATTGAGCATTGCTGCCGATGCCCGTTGACGGCTCGGCTGCTGCAGCGGCGGCTCAACCTGGACGCGTCGATCTTTGGCAACCTCCACACGTTCATGCTCACGAACATCCACATCAAAGACGAGGAGACGCTATGCAAGGTAGGGTTACTGATCTACGCCGTATACAACGCCGTCAACAGCATTCGACACAGCGAGGTGGCACCCGAGGCCTCCTTCGACTGCATGTGCCAATCCTTGCGGGAGGCGGCCAAGAGGCACAGGTACTCGACCGCGGTGCTCGACGGCGCCTTCCGGACACCGCGGGGCTCCAGAAGAGCGTGATCGTCCCCTTCCTCTACTGCTTCGACAGCTACGGCGCGTGATGCCCTCTCCTTTCCTCTCCTCTCTTCCTCCGTTGCCTTCGTCCTCCCTCCTCTCCCTCTTTTTCCCCCCAGCAAGGCGCCGACTTGTTGCGCCACGGACTTTGCAGAGCCGAAATTCGTGACATTTTCGTTGCTTCCGTCTGTCGGGGGGGCAGGATTTGTCCGCCCACCGCTCCCCCTGGGGGCCCCACGCCTGGGGGGGGCAGGGGTCCGCTGTTCTCCCCCCCTTCCTTCCCCCCTCCTCCCCTTGCTGTTTCCTTCCTCCGTCCCTCCTCCCTCGTCGCCGTCGTCGTCGCTCGTCGCTCGGCGTCCTCGTCCTCGTCGTCGTCGTCGTCGTCGTCGTCGTCGTCGTCGTCGTCGTCGTCGTCGTCGTCGGTGCCGTCGTTGTCGTCGTGGTCGTCGCTGTCGTCGTGGGCGGCCCCTTGCCTTCCTCGGGTTTGTGGCCCCCCCGCGGGGGGAGGGGCGTCCGAGGCTTCCGAGCCCACGCAGGGCAGCCTGGCCGACGGGGCATTTGAAGCCGGAAAGGCCGGTGGCGCTCGACAGGAGCGCGCACTTCCCCTTCCTTCTCCGCCTCCCTTCCGCCCCGTCCTTCTACTCGTCCGCCACCCGCTTCATTGCAGCAGCTTTGCATGAGGTTTTTTTGTTGACGTGGAGCGCCACGGGGATCGGGGCACGTGCTGGCTCGTATAGCGTCGACTCCACCCCTTGGGCGCCGCGGTGGCCCAAATAGTTAGCTCGCTCCTTCCCTCCCTCCTTCTCTGCACGGAAATCGCGATACGGCATCTGCGGTTCCGGTGGGGTATTCACTCGTCGGTGTTCTGTTGTGTTTTGGTTTTGCGGCTGAATAGGCCCCGGGGTGTTCAATCCACGAGTGGGCATTGACGGCCGAGGGCGGATGCATCGCCGGACTTGGTGCGAGGTTCCCTCTCCCTCTCCCCTCTCCTTCCTTTCTGCGGCCTCCCCCTGCCCCCTGTTCTCCACCCGGTCTCACCGATACGATGTTGGGGTATTTCGTATCGCTCCGCGTTCGTGAGATTTTGCTTAGAAGCCGCCCTCCAAAGCAGTGGCGGAAACCTGCGCTGAGTGTTGGCTCCGTTTGTGCAGTCTTCCTCCTCCCCTGCTTCCTCCTCGTCCTCCTCCTCCTCCTCCTCCTCCCCCTCCTCCCTGAATGTGGTGACATTTGCCCGGCCGGCCACTTTCGATATCTACGGCTATGGAGTTTCAACGCGATTTGCAGCGGCTCTCGATCTTCTCAATGGGTGCGGTGATAGCCCCCTCGAGGGGAAGCGGATCTGCCCCTCATCACGTCCTGTGGTGCTGTTTTCGACTCAGGGTGGCATGGCCCCCGGACTCCCCAGCACGATATGCGAGATGGACAGCAAGCGGGCGTGTGCGTTGTCTCAAAAAAAAAGAGTGCGCACAGATCTGGGCTAAGTGGGCGGAGCCCACTTAGCGGAGTTACTTCATCGTCCTGAGCCACACAGGGTATTCGCAACCCACTTATATAAGGCGGGTTAGGCCACACAAACCCCACTTTAGCATCCGCTTCTACCCACCCCATCCCCTTAGCAACCACCGCGGCGATCTAAGTAGTAGAGCCGTTCGATGCTCGGCCCGGGGCGGTCCCAGGCCGCCCCGCCCGCTCCGACCCCGCCACGGCGCCCGTCCCGCGCCCGATGGCCGGCGGCGGCTCCGCCCTCGCGGCCCTGCCGGGGCAGGCCCGGGGGTCGGCGCCGCCAGGGCAGGGCCCTGGCGCCAGGGCCCCAGAGACTGGGGGCGGCAAAGAGGGGGGTGATGACTAGGGGGGTGGGGTGGATATAATGACGGGAGCCATGATACTTCCGCAGATTTCATGGCGCCTCTTCGTGTTTCAATGCGTCCCCGGCTCCCCACGCCCTGGGCCGCGCACGTGCCGCCGGCCATGATTTGCACCCCCCCTCTTGGACGCCCCCCTTTTTGCCGCCCCCGAAGTGATCTGAGGAGATATGATTTTCGGGAGGGGAACAACACAGACATAATGCATCGTCGCCCTCCAGGAAAATGCGAAGATATGGAAAGTGGGGGGGTTAGGACGAAAGCCCAGAACGTTTGAGGAGGAGGAGGAGGAGGAGGAGGAGGAGGAGGAGGAGGAGGAGGAGGAGGAGGAGGAGGAGGAGGAGGAGGAGGAGGAGGAGGAGGAGGAGGAGGAGGGGGGGTAAGACGAAAGACCAGAACATGTCGGGAAATAGGGGGAACCTGGGACTTCTGGCTATTTCTTTGTCTGTGCCCCTGGGCCCCTCCCTAGACAGATTGGTTCAATCCGTCGTTTCCCCCTGGATGTCGGCGCCTCGAGGACGAAGGACGAAGACGCGCGGGCGTGGGGTTAAATCGGGCATGTCCCTCTACAGGAGGAGTATCCAAACATAGTTCAAACATAGTCTGGGGGCGATCTAGTTTGGATTATCTGTTTGTGTCTATGTTTGAATATTTCTGTTTGACAATTTTGAACTTTTCCTCCAAGATCCGCCTGTAGGGGGACATGCCCGACCTAAGCGTGGGGGCCGAGGCGCCTCCCGCTCGGCCTGGGCCAGCCTCAGCCGTGGGGAGCGGCGAAGGATGGACCCCGAGGGGGGCGGCGAAGGACGGCTCCCCGTCGCGCCGCGTTGCTGCTCCTCGCCGGGAGATCCGAGTGAGGCTCAGGCTCCCCTGGCTTCCTTCCTTCTCCTCCTCCTCCTTTTCTTCCTCCTCCTCTGCCTCCTCCTCTTCCACCCTCTCTTCCTCTTCGCTGCCCTCCTCCTGCTGCTGCTCCTCCTCCTCCTTCGCTGCCCTCCTTCCCTCCTCCTCCTCCTCCCCCTCCTCCGCGTGGAAGAAGATACTGAAGGGGCTCCATCCGAAAGCGAAGGGAGTGACCCTGATATCTGACACGCTGAGTGTGCTTCAAGCATGCCGCGGGAGCCAAGTTGCTCAAACAAATCTCCTCCTCCTCCTCCTTCTCTTCCTCCTTCTCCTCCTCCTTCTCCTTCCTCCTCCTCCTCCCCTCCCCCTCCCCGTCCCCCTCCCCGTCCCCCTCCCCCTCCCCCTCCCCCTCCCCTGCCCCTCCTCCCCCTCGGCACTTTTTTCGTGGAGTTCAGCCTCCAGGGCGCTTTGTCGGGCCTGGGGGCCATTAACAATGGACCTGGGACGAAGAACCAGCCCCCAGAGAAGGGGTCGGGACATCTGGGGCCGCGGATCGAAAAAGCAGATTGGCGGATACCTGGGTCCCTCTCCTGCTTCTACGCTGGCCCTGGTCCTCCGCCTACTCCTCCTTCTCCTCCTCCTCCGCCTCCTCCGGCTCCTGCTCCTCTTGCTCCTCCTCCTCCTCCTCCTCCTCCTCCTCCTCCTCCTGCTCCTCCTGCTCCTCCTGCTCCTCCTGCTCCTCCTGCTCCTCCTGCTCCTGCTCCTCTTCCTCCTCCTACTCCTCCTCCTCATTCTCCTTCTCCTCCTGCCCCCCCCCCCAGCTGCCGTCGGCCCGCGACAGTCCGCCGCGCTCGGCCTCCCCTGACCCTCGTCCTCTGCTTCTCCTCTGGCACGCGGCAGCCCGCCGCGCTCGACATGGGGAGGCGGCGGCGGCGGCCGCGCTGGCGCCCTGTGGCCGCAAAGGCTCGAGCGAGGAGGAGGAGGAGGAGGAGGAGGAGGAGGAACAGCAGCAGCAGCAGCAGCAGCAGCAGCAGCAGCAGCAGCAACAGTACATACTAATAGTAGGGCTGCTGGTGGGCCCAGCTTCGAGGGGTGCTACGCAGATCAGAGGGGTACCTCGCCATCCCTGGGGGGCTGCGAACTGCGGAGCTGTCGCCACTTTCGAGGGTTGCTGGGGGCCCCAGAGGATGCTAAGCAGCGGCCAAGTGCCAGGGTGCCAGGGTAACGTTTCGGGGGGCTGGCTGCGTGATCCTTTCACAGGAAGGGGGGGGGGCTCTGAAATCCTGGTCAAGGTTATCGCTCATCATGTTCGATGTCCTTGCCACCGCGTCCTGTAGATTGATGGCAATCATGCATGGCCTCTGGTCGTGCCGGCATCCACTTCTGCTTCGGCATAAGTCGACCCCTAACCCTGTGGGAGGCGGCCTAAGTAATGAGGGCCAGAAACATTAGGGATATGAGGTCTTTTCTGCAGATGTGTCGAACCAAGCCGCCCAGGTTTATTCTCCCGCATGCAAGGACGGGGCCCTCAGTGAGGCCGCGCCTTCACTCTGTTCTTAGGGTTAGGGGTGCTTCTATCCTCGATGAACTTCTGATGCCGCTGCCGCTGCTGCTGGTGCTGCTGCTGCCGGTGGCTACTCCCGTGGCGGGGCGGCAGCGGATACATGCCCCGCGGCGAGCCACGGACGCAGCCGATGCTCGGCTCGGCGGGCACGCCTCCGCTTGTGCAAGGCCGCGTGGCCCTCCGAGGGGCACCCGCAGAAGAAGCCGCCCACGTGCGCCCGCTTCTCCGCCGCCGCGGGCTCTGTCAAGCAAGGGCCCAGGGATCCGGGAGTCTGCTTTTTGCAGTCCGGCGCGTCTTTCCCTGGATCTCGGCCGTCGGGGCCCGTTACCGGGCCTTGGGATTATCTCAAACATGGGACTGGGAGGAAAATCCCCCCCCGGGGAAGGGGTCCGGACGTCGGGGGCCGCGGATTGAAGAAGTCATACGGTGGATGTCTGGGCATCCAGCGTCTCTTCAGGGAGGACAAATACACCCAGCCGTTGCCCTTGCCTCGCTTTTCCCTTTTGGGGGCCTCCTGGGAGGCCCTCGTCGCTACGGCTGGATTCGCCTCGCCATTCTCGTTAGGGCGCACCCCGGGAGAGGTTCGGGGAGAGCAGAGTTATCGGTGCCTGTTGGTTACAGTCTCGAGAAAATCGAGACGGCCGATTCTTCCCCGTTTTCGGCCTCTGGAGGCCGGTTTTCTGCCCCCAGGACCGTCACAAAACGACCCGGGGTGGAGCCCAAGGCCCGCGGAAGTGGTCGAGACCCTGATCCTCGGATACTGGAGTTTCCGGTTGCGACCGACTGGGTCGGCCTCTACCGATTTTGCTTCACATTCTGGGAGCGGTCGCGACCGATTGGCCGCGATCGGTCGCGTACGGTCGCGAGCGGTCGAGAACGCTTGTGATCGGTCGCGGTCGGTCGCGGATCTTTCGCGCCGACGAAGGGTGTGGGGGGGGAGGGAACAAACCTGCGTCTGACAAGCGCCTGACGTCAGATTTCTGGTAGACGGGAATTGCTGTGAGTCAGGCGTTCGTCTGAGCAATACCATGCTCCCCCTCCTCACGCAGAACATGCGGATCTGACAAGCGTCTGGCGCCTGACGTTTGTCAGATGGAATCCTCCTCTGCATCCTTCCCCTCTCCTCCCCCCTCTCGTTCTGACATCGGTTGCGGTCGGTCGCGGTCGGTCGCGGTCGGTTGCGTGGCAGTATCGGGGCGGTAAGTATCTGGGAGTCGCGACCGTGAGCGATCGCGGCCGATTCGGGAATCGACCCCGATGGACCGTGACGGTCTTGGAGTGCCCATCGGTCGCTACCGATCGCGAGGAGGAGGAGGAGGAGGAAGAGGAGCAGGATGACCGAAAGGTCCAGCATATGCGATGCTCTGGGGAGCTGAGGGGGCCCGTGCCTCGAACAGGCATATCGCGACGCCAGATGTCCAGGGACGCAGCCCCAGCCCCGGGGGACCTGGAACGGCACCACGGGATGGTCAGGCGATCGCAAACATGGATCAAGGGGGCGTGGATTGGCGACGGGCCCCGTTTCCATGGGAAATCGCGGAGTTCCGCCGCCGAGCGAGGCGGCACCGGCCGCATTTTGGGGAGGGCACCTCCCCCGATCCATGGATTTGGCGACCGCGCGGCAAATCCATGGATTGCTAATCCATGTTTGCGCGCCCCCGAAAGCAAGCGAGCGGTCGCCCTCAACCCCCAGCCATCCGATTTTCTCGAGACTGGGGTAACTCAAAGGCGCCGATACCACTACTCCAGATTTCGTAATAAAGGGAGGGGGGTCTCATTTCGGGGGGGGGTCTCTTCCAGGCTATCTTGGAGGGCCTGGGGGGGTCTGGGGACGACGTTTTGGAGGGTTCTCCCACGGGGGGGGGTCTGAAATGGCTTGTCTTGGAGGGTCCAGACCCCCTCCCTTTTATTTACGAATTCTGGAGTACTCCCCCTGGACCTCTTCCTTGGGGCGCGTCCTGACGAGAATGGAGATGCGAATCCAGCCGTCGCGGCGAGGGCCTCCCAGGAGGCCCCCCAAAGGGAAAAGCGAGGCAAGGGCAACGGTATGGGTGTATTTGTCCTCCCTGAAGAGACGCCGGATGCCCAGACATCCACCGTATGACCTCTTCCCGGGGTGCGTCCTGACGAGAATGGCGAGGCGAATCCAGCCGCCGCGGCGAGGGCCTCCCAGGAGGCCCCACAGGGGAAAACGAGGTGAGGATAACGGTACGGCTACTCCAGATTTCGTAATAAAAGGGAGGGGGTCTGGACCCTCCAAGACAAGCCATTTCAGACCCCCCCCCGTGGGAGAACCCTCCAAAACGTCGTCCACAGACCCCCCCAGGCCATCCAAGATGGCCTGGAAGAGACCCCCCCCCCGAAATGAGACCCCCCTCCCTTTATTACGAAATCTGGAGTACTTCTCCGTCCTTGGAGAGGCGCCGCATGCCCATGCATCCGCCGATGTGATTTTTCACTCCGCGGCCTCAGTGGTCCAGACCCCTTCCCCAGGGGTGTTTTTTTCGTCCCGGACCCATCTGGTCCCCGGGCCCGATAACGGGCCCCGAAGGCCGAAATCCAAGAAACAAATTAAAACATCAGATTCCCGGTTCTCTGGGCCCTTACTTGACAGAACCCACGGCGGCGGAGAAAGCGGGCGCACGTTGGCGGTTTCTTCTGCGGGTGCCCCTCGAAAGACCACGCGGCCTTGCACGGGCAGAGGCGTGCCCGCCGAGCAGAGCATCGGCTGCTTCCGTGGCTCGCCGCGGGACATATATCCGCTGCCGCCCCGCCACGGGAGGGAGCCAGCAGCAGCGGCAGCATCAGCAGCAGCAGCGGCATCAGAAGTGGATGCCAGCATGGCCAGAGTCCGTGGGAACGGGAGTTCATCGAGGATAAAAGAGAAGACCTAACCCTAAGAACAGAGTGACGACGTGGCCTCACTGCGGGCTCCGTCCTCGCATTAGGGGTAATAGACCTGGGCGGTTTGTTTCGACACATCTGTAGAAAAGACCAAAGCCTAATGTTTCTAGCCCTTATAACTTAGGGCGCCTTTCAAAGGGTTAGTGGTCGCTTTATGCCGAAGCAGAAGTGGATGCCGGCACGACCAGAGGCCGTGGGAACGTGATTGCCGTCGATCGGCAGGACGCGGTGGCAAGGATATTGAGCATGATAAGCGATAACCTTGACCAGGACTTAAGATCCTCCCCACTTGCGGTGAAAGGATAAAGCAGCCAGCATCCTGAAGCGTTACCCTGGAAAACTGGCACTTGGTCGCTGCTTAGCACTCCTCTGGGGCCCCCAGACACCTCAGAAGTGGCGACACTTTCGCATTTCGCAGCACCCCAGGGATGGCGAGGTCCCGTTCTGATCTGCGTAGCACCCCTCTCAGCTGGTCCCGTCAGCAGCCGTACTATTATTCAGCACTATTGTTTTAACGACGACTACTACTACTACTACTACTACTACTGCTGCTACTACTACTACTACTGGTACGACGACTACTACTACTACTACTACCACCACTACGACGACTACTACTACTACTACTGCTACTGCTACTGCTACTGCTACTGCTACTACTACTACTACTACTACGACGACTACGACTGCGACTACAACAACAACTACAACAACAACCACTACTACTACTACTACTACTACTACTACTACTACTACTACTACTACTATTACTACTACTACTACTACTGCTGCTGCTGCTGCTACTACTACTACTACTACTAGTACTACTACTACTACTACTACTACTACTACTACTACTATGACTACGACTACGACTACGACTACTACTACTACTGCTACTACTACTACTACTACTACTACTACTACTACTACGACTACTACTACTACTACTACTACTACTACTACTATGCCTACTACTGCTACTACTACAACGACAGCGTCTGCGGCCACAACATAGACTTCGACTACGATTGCGACTACGACTACGACTACGACTACTGCTGCTGCTGCTACTGCTACTATTACTTCTGCTAGTACTGCAACGCTGCTACGACTGCTACAGCGACTACGACTACGACCTTGACTACGACTACCACTACGACTGCGACTGCGACTACGACTACGACTACGATTACCACTGCGACTACGACGACGACGACTACGACTACGACTACTACAATTACGATTAGTATTACTATTACTACTACTACCACTACTACTAGTATTACGACAACAACAACAACTACTACTATTAGTGCTACTGCTACTACTTCCACTACTACCACTACAACGACTACTACTACTACTACGGCTACTACTACTGCTCCTACTACCTACTACTACCACTACTACTACTACTACTGCTGCTACTACTACTACTACTACTATCACGATCACTATGACTATTACTCTTAACATTACTTGTGCGGTTGCTATTGCTAGTTTTACTACGGAGACACTAGTACTTATGCTGCGCTCACAACGGGTACTACTAGTACTGCCGCCACTACTACTACTACTACTACTACTATTACTACTACTACTACTACTACTACTACTACTACGACTACTACTACTACTACTACTACTACTACTCGCTACGACTACGACTACGACTCCGAGTTCGACTACGGCGACTGCTACTACTAGTCGTTTTATTATTACTACTATTTCTGATGCTACTACTACTACTACTACTACTACTACTACTACTGCTGCTGCTATCAGTACTATTATTTCCGACTTCCACTGCGACTACGCCTACGACTATTATCATCATGTATGTTGTTATTGGTATGTATGCTTTCACTATTTCTATCACTTGTGCTACTACTATTTTTAGATTGCTATTATCATTAGAACTGCTACCACTAGTCCGAGGACGACGATTACTACTACTACTACTACCACGGCGACGATTAGTACTTCTGTTACGACTACTAATAATAGATTGCCACTAATTCTACTAACTAAGATTACGAGTACGACAGCGACTTCGACTACGTCAACGACTACGACTCCGACGACGACGGCGACGACTACTACTAATATTATGTCTATGGCTACTACTTTGCTATCACGAGTGCTACTACAATACTATAGCTTTTAAGCAATAAGAAAACATTACGTCCATTATTAGTATTATTACGATGCTGAGTGTTAGCTAAATTGCTTTTGCGATTTTTCTGCTATCATTTTTCATTACTACTGCTATGACTATTTTTATTACTACTACTACTACTACGACGACTACTACTACTACTACCACTATTGATATTTCATCGACTTCGCTTTCTTTTTCTATTAATTTTTAATACTACTACGAAGTCTACTTAGTCTACGAATTGCTACTACTACTAAGTGCATCTGCCGCTCAGCCGCGGACTGAACTTATCTATTTGCGGCGTCCCCGAGTGTTCAGATAACGCTCCATGCAGGGTGGGGGCGATACCCTGGGGTGGACCACCCCTTTATGACGGCTGACGAACATGTATTTTCAGCGTGGTTTTTAATAGTACTCGTCTTGGACAGGTGCGGTGAGGAGAAAAAGAAAAGGAGGAACGAGAGGCGGTGAGGAGGCAGTGGTTAGTGAGGAGGTAAGAGTTACGGTCGAATGGAGGAAACGGAGGAGTACTTGCGGTCGAAAGGGGGGGGGACCCGGGGGGGACGACCATTATTTATTTGTTGTGGCTTGGTGCGGTGCTAAAGGTAACGCTCCGCTGAGTTCGCACCCGCGGCATTGTTTATTTTCGCTTCGGTGCCAAACGATAACCTAGGAGAGTTGTTTTAATTCCTGGTGAAGGTTATGTGGCAGCGTTGCGCGAAATACGTGGCATCAGACTGTGCCAACAGACGAATCTATTCAACGTGGGTCCTTTGACTGCCCACCAGAGCACGCAGTGCAGGTGAGAGGGCTTCGTCTGGAGATCCGGGTAAGCTATTTGTCAACACGGTTGTTGCCTCGGAGGTTTCTGAGGTAAGGCCAGCTGGGTAGAGGTACGAGATCAGTGTGATCCGCCCCCAGCTAGTTTGCCCCGAAGACGAGCTGGACTCAGCGACCGCGACTGGATCTACATATCGGCCATACAAATCGCCAGATCGAGCAGTCCATGGAAGAAGACGCAGGACTGAGACCGAGCTGGAGCTAACTTTCGGAGCGTGCGTACAGTAATTCTAGCACACAAAAAGAGTTCCAGCAAGGAAACAGGCCAAGGGCGCGCACAGGTTGAAGATTCTAGGCTACAGCATCCGCCACCACCTCGTGCCTTGCTGCGGCACCTCAAGTCGCTAAGGATCATGTTGCCGCGTTGATGGCACGTAAGTGCAACTCGGCCACGGCAGATGCAAAGCAATCTGTACAACATGTTAGCACGATGTGACAGGTTTGAGCTCAGGAGCGGAGACAACGCGAGCTGCAGCACGCCAACAAGCTACCCAGCACTACCTAAGTGCTGCAGGAACACTGCCACTAGCATATTCTTTAGCAGCAGCGTGGAGAAGTTCAGCAGCAATGAGTTCGTCTGTGTGCCAGTTAGTAGCCGATCGACACTTTTTTGGGGAGCAACAACGGGTCTAGCAGCGACCGCAACAGCAAACTGTGTAGCAATAGCACCGTGCACATAAGCGTCTCGTACAGCAGCAGGCAGTTCGGCAATACCATTGTTTCAGCAGTTGCGCGGCACAGCCCAGCAGCAGTCTCGGCAGCAGCTGCGGCGTGCAAGCTACAGCTACAGCAGGAACTCCAGCAGCATCAATCATGGCATGCTTGGTAACATCCGCAGGCTCATCAGGCTGAGGCGGAACATCGAGATGTGTTGGAAAGATGTGCAGACGCACACCAAAGGAGGAAGCAGCACCGGGCGGATGAGCAATCGACTGTGTATGCCATTGACCACCACGGCAGTTGGGTGGCTCCGTCTTCCTCAAGTCCCGCCACCGCCTTCACCGAGTCAGCCCTGCCCAGCACGACCTCCTACGGGGCAGGATGTGGATCGTGCATGCGTGTTGGTTTATGAGGAGGAGCGGTCCTGACAGGAGCTGGTGGAGGCAGGAACGAGACTCTCTCGCCGACGTCGGAGGACCCGACGGCGGCCGCACGCAGGCACAGTCGGAGGCCATTGCACTAGCGGGGTGCAGCAGCCTGCATTGGAGCAGGCGTGCGGGCTTTTCCGTTCTCGCCGCCGCCTCGTGTGGCAGCATCCCCAGGACGGCGGCGACGACGACGGCGGCGGCAACGACGGCGGCGGCGGCCTCCTCCAAGGCCGCCGCGCCGCCCGCGGGCCTCACGGCGGCGCCCCCGCCGCGCCTGCCGCCCGCGCCCTGCGCCTGCGAGGGCCGCCCGAGCCTCGGCGCCCGCGAGGAGCGCCCCGCGCGGGCGCCGGCGGCGGCGGCGGGCGACCGGCGTGCGGGCGCCCGGGTCCTGAGCGCCGCAGCGCGCTGGCTGTGCCGGCCGAGTCGCAGGCCCTCGCTCGGGTCTGCACGATCGACCCCTGCGATCTCACCACCCACCAAGCCACCCCAACCCAATCCGAAGGCTTCAGTTTGCCCTCCACTTCCGCCGGGGGGGGGGGTCGGGGAACACTATAGGAATACATGGGACCTGTAATTACTCCCCCCCCCTCCCCCAACCCAAAATTCGGGTCAAACTCGGGTCTTCGGGTTTGGTTGGGGTGGTCTGGTAGGCAGTCAGAGATCCGACGTTGCGGAAACAATGCAGCATCGCAGCAAGTCACGCCCAGAGCCTTAGACTTCAATCAAGCAGTGGCGAAGCGTCCTGGCTCGCCTATAGTCCCACCAAAGAATGTTCTAAGAACCTCTGGTGGTCTGCACGGAATGTTCTCAGAACATTTCTGGCCCGGACTGTCATGTTTCAGCACAGCGGGCTTATGTTCTAAGAACATTGTTTTTGTTCTTAGGACATTTTTGGGTTCTGAGAACATTTCGTGGCACGGACTATAGGAATGCCGGACGGTCGGTCCCTGCTCAATGAGATCCGACGTTGCGAATAACATGCGAAATCGCAGAAAATCACCTAGACTACCGCCCGGAGCCCTAGACTTACTCTTTCTGCGTCATTTTCCGAGCCGGATCGATCTGGCGCAAAAGCGATCGTTGTGAAAGCATTGCGACGCCAGGATCTCAGGGGAACTGGATGCGGAAAGAATTCGAACGAAAACCAACAGTTCCTATCTTGGGCAGGGTTTGCTGTCGGTGCCGCCGCGGGCCTTGTCCAGTCGAGGCAGAAGGCCGCCTGCCCGACAGCGGCCGCTGTCGGTTTTGGACAACAGGTGTTGTTGGGCAGAGCTGGCCGTGCCAGCCCACTCGCATGCCCTCGCTAGGGGGGCGAGGGGCCAATCGGGTGCCCCAAACTCCCAGGACCCCGCGGGTCACGACAGAATCGCGACGGGAGGTATCTGGCAATTTTCGCCCTCCTCGCTGCGCCCTGGGACAGTCCGGAAAAGATTCAGGCTGCAAAGCCAGTCCTGGGGAATGGGTCCAGACACAATTGGTCGGACGGGGCTAGGACGAGGATGCATCCGTTCCAGAGCGTTCCGGAACGCTCTGGGAAGGCCGCGGCGCCCGAGACATCCTCCAGAGCCGCGGGATCTCAGAGATTCTCGATTTATCCTCACCCGATTTTGTCCTCGTCCAAAACCATACCTCCGACGTCGTGATTTTTCACAGCGTCGACCCCCAGAGGTCTGGACCCTTCCCGGGGACCAGCTTTTCATCCTTCGTCGTTTTGTTCACGGCCCCGAGGTCTGGTGAGGGCCCCTGGAGGCCAAAGCGAGGGAAAATCCTCCCGTCGTGTTCTTTTGGTCACGGCGCGAGGGGGCTCTGGGCTCTAACTGTTGGACAGCCTGGTTAGCCAATGCTGATGAATGACGACAAGACGGCCCGCCCTGGACAACCCTGCGGGGATCCGGACAACACCTCCCGACAAACCCCCGTTGGACAAGCCCCCCCCTTGGACCAAGCACGAGCGCGCAAAACGCTACTAGCGCATTGCGTTCGGCGATCGGGGGACCCAATTGGGCATGCACTCGAGGTCACTCTGGCGAAAGGTCATTCGTATCCATGCAGCCGAACCTCCGTCGGGTCCAGGAAAACATTACCATTTTATCCTGGCGAAAGACCCAACCATACTGCAATGATGAGTACCGCTTTCGGTGGAGCTCCCTATGGGGCCACGAAACGAGGGTTGTGCCGAAATGGGTGCGGTGCCGCCATGCGAACGCAGCCACTGGGGCCCTCGGTGGAGCCCCCCATGGGGCCACGCAACGTGTGAGGGATGTGCCGACATGGGTGCGGTGCCGCCATGCGAACGCATGGGGCCACGAAACGTGTGAGGGGTGTGCCGACATGGGTGCGGTGCCGCCATGCGAACGCAGCCACTGGGGCCCTCGGTGGAGCTCCCTAAGCTCCACGAAGCGTGTGAGAGGTGTGCCGAAATATGGGCGGTGCCGCCATGCGAACGCAGCCACTGGGGCCCTCGGTGGAGCTCCCTAAGCTCCACGAAGCGTGTGAGAGGTGTGCCGAAATGAGAGCGGTGCCGCCATGCGAACGCAGTCACTGGGGCCTTCGGTGAAGCTCCCTATGGGGCCACGAAACGTGTGAGGGGTGTGCCGACATGGGTGCGGTGCCGCCATGCGAACGCAGCCACTGGGGCCCTCGGTGGAGCTCCCTATGGGGCCACGAAGCGTGTGAGGGGTGTGCCGACATGGGTGCGGTGCCGCCATGCGAACGCAGCCACTGGGGCCCTCGGTGGAGCTCCCTATAGGGCCACGACACGTGTGAGGGGTGATGGTGATGAGGACGGCGATGATGATCATGATGATGATGATGCTGATGATGATGATGATGATGATGATGATGATGATGATGATGATGATGATGATGATGATGATGATGATGATGATGATGATGATGGTGATTCATGATGATGATGATGCTGGTGCTGATGCTGATGCTGATGCTGCTGCTGCTGATGATGATGATGATGATGATGACGACGATGACGTTGATGGTGATGATAGCGGTCGTGATGATGGTGACGATGATGATGGTGATGACGTTGGTGATGACGATGCCGATGATGATGCTTATGATGAGATAGTGATGATGATGGGAGGAGGGAGGGGGAGGAGGAGAGCAGAGGAGGAGAACGCGGGGCGCTGTCTCTTCAAAACGAGGACCACACACCACAGGATGGTTGGGAATGAAAACGCCTATACGCTCAGCCTCTGGCGGGGCCCTCACCGGGGGCCTCATGACCGCCAAGACAAGGGCTCGGCATGAAAACCCGGTCCCAGGGAAAGGATCGAGACCTCAGGGGGTCGACGCCATGTACACAGATCACGGCGTTGGGCCTGGGGCCCTCAGACAACGATCTCGGCTCGAGCCCAGGAGTGCAAACAGTCTGTCCCAGGAATGGGGTCCAGAGCTCTCGCGGCCCGCGCCGGGCAAGAGGGGCGACGGCGGAGATCTGGACCACCGCCGCCGGTCGTCGCCCTCGCCCTCGCTGCCATCGCCGCCTCGGAGCGCAGGCGCTGCGCCGACGGCGACGCGTGCGTGGACGGGCAGGCGATGCTCCGCTGCCTGCTCTGCAGGTGGAGGAGCAGAACACGGCAACGGCACACGGTGGGGAACTTTTCGATCCCGTGTCGCTCCGCTGGTTCTGGCCACCGCGCCTCGGTGGGACACGCTATCCACTTCGCGGCCCCGAGGCGTCCACTTGTTGGGCTCTCCTGAGCATCCCGTCCCGCGGAGCGGAGCGACACGCTATCCACTCGCAGGGCACAGCGTGTCGCCAGGGCCGCCGTGGCGACGCGCTGTCCAAAAGTTCGTGGCCGTGATTTTCGGAGCCCCGCGTGGATCTCTTGGGCCGGCGCTGGGCCCTCGTGTGGCAGCGCCTCCAGCGCCGCCCCTGGCGTGCTCCGCGCGCCAGGGAGCAGGGTCCGGCGCGGCTCCAGGAAATCTGGGCGGATCTCCGAGAAATTGTGCTGCTTGTTTTTTGTTCCTCCATGCATGGCCACGACCTCCTCGGCCCTCGAGGCGCCCGACCAAGAAGGAAGTACAGATCAGTCAAACGTGAACTTTTGGAGCTCTCCTCGGACTTCTTGGATCTGCGCTGGATGCCCCTCCTCTGCGCGCGGAGCGCGCCAGTGGCGGCGCGGGAGCGCCGCAAGAGGGGATCCGGAGAGTCCGCGCGGACCCCTGGAAGTTGGTTTCTGCAGTGGAGGCCCATGCCAAGAAACACCCCGCTCGCCTCCAGAGTGCCCTGGGTTTCTTGGGTTTCGATGGTTTTGCGATGGAAGGCGCGACGTTCCCACACCAAAAAGCCATGGACGTCCTGGGATCTCAGGGTTGGGTTTCTTCTGGAAGGCTTCCTGTGGACTGGCCTCCACTGTATGGATTTCCAAGACCCTGGACGTCGCAGAGTGGACCCTCAGAGGGCTGGACCCCGTCCTGGGGACCAGCTCTGCATCCTGGGCCTTCTCTTATTGGCGCTCCGGGAGCCTGGGGTGGCCCCTAGAGGCCGAAGAGAGCGGCGCTCGGAGTTCCGAAGGTTCCGAGGCTTTTTATATATTATATATATATATATATATATATATATTAATTAAAACATACAAAAAATACATGTATATATAATTCCTTTGAGGCGAGTTCGGGACCTCCCCCTCCTCCTCCCCCTCCTCCTCTTCCTTCTCCTCCTCCCTCCCCCTGGAGTTCGGAAAGTTCCGCGGCGAGTTTCCACCCCCTGGGGGATCGATCTCCTGGGACCTCGGCTGGCTCTGGGAGTGGATACGGATATATTCGGCCCTCCTTGGACCATATGTATGTATGTATGTATGCATGCATGCATGCATGCATGTATGTATGTATGTATGTATGTATGTATATATATATATATATATATATGTATGGTAGTCCTGCCCACATGATCGTACATGTTCGCGCCGCGTCTTCATCATGTCTACATATCTGGTCCCCCCCTGCCATCATACATCTCTCCTCCTGCGGGAGCGGCCGTGCCATCGGATGTGCTCTGAGGCGGTGGCGGATTCGTTAGAGTCTGCCCGCCCAATCAGCTCGTGTGGTCCTGTCGCATTCTCTCTGCCCCTGGCCACCCTACTGCTAGTCTCTCTCGTGCTCCACACTTCTCCCTCCTCCATCCGCCCTCGCTTCCCATGTTTCAGGGCCTGCACCAATGTCATGCGGCAGGTAAGAAAGAGATGCCCTCAAGGGAGAGCGATCGAAGACGAAGAGGGCGGGCATCGAGGGTTGGGGGTGGACGCGTTGAATTCCACGCGAGCAGGTTCGGCCAAACAACCTTAACATGGTTGCTCTTCGACCCTGCCCGCGAGCGACGCGCCCGCGACCCAACCGCGACTCACCCGCGACCCACCCCGCGACCCACCCGCGACCCGCCCGCGACCCACCCCGCGACCCACCCCGCGACCCTGCCGCGACCCACCCCCACCCCGACCCGCGCACGCTCCTCACTCGTATCCGCAACTGCGGGGTGCCATATATGAATACACTTATGTATACACACATATACATACATACATCTATACGTGTATATATATGTATATATATATATGCATTTGTGAAGCATACGGTATAACTTTGTGTATATATTTATGCACACTTATACATATGTGTATACATGCATACCTATATATTTATAGACACACATGTATTTCTATTCCCGTCTCGCAGAACGTGTATGTATGTGTAGTTGTTTCTTCCTCTTGGGGTGCCCGACTAGGGGGTCTGGCGTAGATCCAAGAAATCCGCGCGGAGCTAGCGCCCTAGAAATATTGTGCAGTCTCAGGGTGTGCGTGCGAATTTGGTTGGCGCTTTCATGTCCATATGAAAACAGTAGAGGACGGCAGCTGTTAGCTACGCTACATCCTCAGCCCTTTCAGTGCTACACTGTTTTGTGGGGCTCCAGGAAGTCTACGCTGAAATATGTTTGTGGTTCCTCTGTGCACCCAGGCCTCCCAGATGGGGTCGGAGCAGATGGGGTCGGAGGGTCCCTCCGCACCGCCGACGAGGCGGCTCGACGCGGAGCCAGAGTGTCTTCACGCCGATGGCGCCGATGCATTGCCGACGTCGCCTGTGCATCGGCGACGCATCGGCGATGCGGCGCGGTCCACCGGACCC